AAAGGAAGAATAGGCACATCTTGGAGGTGGCTAGAAGTATTATGTTTACCTCCAATGTCCCTATTCACTTCTGGGGTGATGCTATCCTCACGGCGGTATATCTTATTAATCGGGTTCCTTCCCGGGTTCTTGATATGAAATCTCCTTTTTCCCTTTTATACCCAAATGAGGAGTTGTTTACTGTTCCCCTTAAAACATTTGGTTRCACCTGTTTTGTTCAGCCTCTCGGACCCCATCACTCCAAATTCGAACCAAAGGCCTCCAAATGCATCTTTCTTGGTTATGCACAAACTCAAAAGGGTTATTGATGCTATGATCCTATCTCAGGGAAGAAGTTTCTCCATGGATGTCACTTTCTTTGAGGAGACACCCTATTATTCTCGGGTTTCTCCTCAGGGGGAGAGCAGTGAGAGTGGGGATTTGGGTCCTTTTCTTCAGGGGGAGCGCAGTGAGGGTAGGGTTAATACTTTTGGGGCTGTTCCCTTACCTATTCCATTGGGTGATGAGGGCTGCAATAGTAGGGTGGTCAGAGGGATCAAGAGTTGAGAGTCTATCACAGGCGATGCAGGCAGGTTGATCCCGGTCATCAGCAGTCTAGGTCAGCTCCAACCTCTTCTGCGGCTCCAAGTCCAGGTATTACAGTCCCAGGGCCCATAGAGACTCCTTCCACTATTGCCACCTCACCCCCTGCAGACGACCTTGATCTTCCCATTGTCGTCTGTAAAAGGAAACGGCATTGTACCGCATCTACAGCCCACTGCATTTCCCAGTTTTTATCCTATGATCGCCTATCCCCCTCCTATAGGTCCTATCTTACTTCCGTTGCCAATGTCCCTATTCCAAGAACAGTGCAAGAAGTCCTATCAGTCTCAGAGTGGAAAAATGCAATGCAAGTTGAAATGGATGCCCTGTTGAAAAACAATACCTGAGAGCTAGTTGATCTACCCAAAGGAAAGAAACCAGTTGGATGCARATGGGTATTTACTGTGAAGCACAATGCGGATGGCTCCATTGAGAGGCACAAAGCTCGGCTAGTTGCAAAAGGGTTCACCCAGACTTATGGTATAGATTACTTGRAGACMTTTGCCCYGGTAGCCAAGATGACYACMATTYGAGTTCTATTATCTCTTGCAGCAAGCCACACTTGGCCTTTGTACCAAATGGACGTTAAAAATGATTTTCTGAATGGAGACCTTCAAGAAGAGATTTACATGCGGTTGCCTCCTGGATTCTATGATACAGAGACAAGTAAGAAGGTCTACCGGCTCAATAAGACATTGTATGGTTTGAAGCAGTCGCCTAGAGCTTGGTTTGATAGATTCAGACTAGCCCTTGGGAAGTTCGTTATGTACAGGCCCAGTCAAATCATACACTGTTCATCAAGAGGGTGGAGTCCTCTCTGACACTACTTGCAGTATATGTTGATGATATTGTGGTGATAGGAAATGATAGCCATGAGATTGAGTCCCTCAAACAGCTCCTTCATCAAGAGTTTGAGGTGAAAGATCTTRGTGCACYACGGTATTTTTTGGGTATTGAGGTTGCTAGATCTAAACAAGGGATCTTTGTCTCTCAGAGGAAATATGTTCTAGATCTGTTGGCGGAAACTGGAAAGTTAGG